CTCCCAAAGTGCTAGGATTATAGGCACAAGCTACTGCACCCAGCTACCATTGACGGTTCTGTAAGTAACAGGATCATAGGGGGTTTGATGGTAAAATTTGATGTGCCATTATTTTAAGGTGACTAGATTTTAACATTGGTAAAGCAGGACACCATTGATGGGGCTGTAGGGGTGGTGGTGGTGGGGGGGTGTTTCTTAATTAAAAATTTGGTCTATATAGAGCAACAAAAATTTTCATAGAATTTAAAAATAGTATTGTAATATATATATTTTTAATTTCAACATAAGTACAATTCACAAATATAATACATTAAAAAAAATTATGTATAGGGCGGAGCCTGTGGCTCAGAGGAGTAGGGCGCTGGTCCAGCTGGTCCACCTGGGTGACCTTGCCCAGGAGGGGTGTAGGGAGTTTACATTAGCCTTTCTATTCCAAATGAAGTTACATTAACCTCTTCATTCCCAAATGGAGTTACATTAACCTTTTCAGCAGCTGAAAACCATATATTCCTTTCCTGTTGTTCTGCCTTTCCCTAGCTTGCCGTGCATTCTTTCTAAAAATTGGGACTTTTTAAAAATGCCACAGGACGTGGGACAAATTGTTAAAAATGGGGACCATCCCACCAAAAGCTGGACGTCTGGTCACCTTACATTATTTGCTAGATGAAGAAACTAGATTTGGAGCAATTGGGGGTCACACCAGCTGTTACCTAATAGGAGCTCACTTAATGTCCTCCTTCCCAGGCTCCACTGTGGCCTTCCTCCCAGCTCTCCTCAAGGCTTGTGTCTGGGATGGTGGTGTTAAGCTCACTTTAAAGCTCCTTGGCTTTTGTTCTCTGCTGTCCACTTGAACCAAGAATGGCTAGTTGGTTTTGGATTATGAGCAAGTTTCTGTCGTTGTCATTATGAACAGTGACTTTAGCATGAGGCATAAATTTATAGGGAACCAACTGGAACAAATATGATTTAAACTTTTTTGTTGTTATTGTTGAGATAGAGTATTGCTGTATCACCTAGACTAGAATGCAGTGGCATGATCATAGCTCACTGCAACCTCAAACTTGTGGGTACACTGTGATCACGTGTACAACCATGCTCAACTAAGGTTTTTTTTTTTAAAGACAGAGTCTCACTTTGTTGCCCTTGAGTGCTGTGGCATCATAGCTCACAGCAACCTCAAACTTTTGGGCTCCAGTGATCCTCTTGCCTCAGCCTCCCTAGTAGCTAGGACTAAAGGTGCCACCACAGTGCCTGGCTATTTTTAGAGATGGAATCTCTTTCTTGCTCAGGCTGGTCTCAAACTCCAGAGCTTAGGCAAGCTACCCGACTCAGTCTCCCAGAGTCCTGGGATTATAGGCATGAGCCACTGTGCCCAGCCCCCAACTAAGTTGTGTGTGTGGTTTTTGCTTTGTTTTTTTTTCTTTTTTTGAGACACAGTCTTACTATGTCACCCTTGATAGAGTGCTGTGGGGTCACAGCTCACAGCAACCTCCTCCAGCTCTTGGGCTTAAGTGATTCTCTTGCCTCAGCCTCCCAAGTAACTGGGACTACCGGGCACATACCACAATGCCTGGCTATTTTTTTGTTGTAGTTGTCATTGTTTTTTGGCACACCTGGGCTGGGTTCGAACCTGCCAGTTCTGGTGTATGTGGATGGCGCCCTAGCTGCCCAGCTGCAGGCACTGAGCCCCCAACTAAGTTTTTAAAAAAGAATTTTTAGAGGTAGGTGTCTTGCTATGTCACCCAGAATGGTTTTGAACTCCTGGGCTTAAGAGATCTGTCCTCCTGCCTAGGCCTCCCAAAGTTCTAGATTTACAAGCATGAGCCACTATGCCTAGCCCAATTTAAACTTTTTAAAAGTGCATTCCCTGTTTATATAGGAAGAGATGAGTAATTTTTTCTGAAATTTTTAACTTAAATTGATATTTTGAACAATTCTGGAATACATTTAGAGTTTGTTTTCTAGTTGTCCATGGATTACTTTTGAGAAATAATTTTCTTTGATTTTTGTTATTTGGTTGGTAGTAGTGTTATTTAATCATATTGCTATTTGATTTTATTTGCCAGCCAGTGCTAATTTAAATCACTGGGAGTTTAATATCCTATTTAATAATTATGAATATTTGAGAAATCTGGGTACCACATAGAAAGTGAGCATCAGGAAACACATGATATTTAAATTATCTTAATTACTCTAGAGTAGATTTTGGCAACTTGTTCTTAAATCGCCAGATAAATATTTTAGGCTTTGAGGGCCATGTGATCTTGTTGCAACTATTCAACTCGGCCCCAAGCAGCTGTAGGAAGTACATAAAACAAATGAGCATGGCTGTGTTTGTATAATACTTGGTTTATAAAAACAAGTCAAGCTGGATTTGGCCCATGCCAAACCTTGCCAACCTTTGCCCTAGATTCTAGGGTCTCAAACAGCAAATATACTGTATCTTAAGGGCACAGTTCCAATAAGAATTACATAGAAGTTTTAACAAGAAGCACATTTTAAAGTTTTGTTTATTTTTAAATTCATGTGGTTTATTTGTTGCTAGCTAATGCATCCGCATAGTTCAAAGTATAAAAGGCATACAGAGAAAAAAATCTTATTCCCTCCTTATCTCTCCTACCTCTCTCCCTCTCTCCCTAGTAGAAACCTTTATCCTCAAGTTTCTTGTGTATCCTGGAAACATTCTGTAGCTAACAAATATATTTCTCCTTTAAAATTGTGGCAAAATATGCATAACATAAAAGTTACCATTTAAAAAATAAGTGGCATTAAGTACATTCACACTGCTGGCTCGGTGCCTGTAGCTTAGTGAGTAGGGCGCTAGCCCCATACACCGAGGCTCCTGGGTTCTAGCCCTGCCTCCATATACCAAGGGTGGCGGGTTCGAATCTGGCTCCTGGCCAGACTGCAGTGAAAGATACCCAGGCGTTGTGGTGGGTGCCTGTGATCCCAGCTGCTCAGGAAGCTGAGGCAGGGGAATCACCTAAGTGGTTTTGGAGGTTGCTGTGAGCTGTGACACCATGATAGTCTACTGAGGGCGACAGAATGGGACTCTGTCTCCAAATAAATAAATACACAAAACTAATGACAGCTGATGAACAAAAGAAAAGGTCCATGCATACTTTATATGATATCTGATACAACAGATAAGCAAAACAGTCCTCAAATAACCTGCCTGTGGGCACAGATTGGACACCCTGGATTAGAGAGAATAAATGTGAAGTGCTAACATCAGATTACTCCATGAGTGAATTGTCTTGCCCTTAGTAGTCAGTAGTAGGAGCTTATTACCTAAAGCTGGGCTCTATGCTAGGAGCTTTTTTTTTTTTTTTTTTTGAGACAGAGCCTCAAGCTGTCACCCTGGGTAGAGTGCCATGGCATCACAGCTCACAGCAACCTCCAACTCCTGGGCTCAAGCAAGTCTCCTGCCTCAGCCTCCCAAGTAGCTGGGACCACAGGCGCCTGCCACAATGCCCGGCTATTTTTTGGTTGCAGCTATCATTGTTGTTTGGCGGGCCCGGGCTGCATTCAAACCCGCCACCTTAGGTGTATGTGGCTGGCACCTTAGCCGCTTGAGCCACAGGTGCCGAGCCATATGCTAGGAGCTTTTACACATGAACCCTCACAAACAGTCCTGGGGTGGGGATTGGATGGAGTTAGGAAAGTATCCCGTTTAGCTGATTAGGGAACTGAAGTCTTGGGAGAAGTGTCTTATGCACAGTTACACAGCTAATGAGTGTCTAAGCTATATTTCAAACTCAGTTTTTTGTCGTATGAAGTTAGCTATTCTCTAAGAATCTCAGTAGTTGTTACTTGATTCTCATAAAGTGGTCAGAAAAGTATAACTTACAGAAATTAGAGTGAAAACAGTCATTATTCTGTGATCACTACTGTTTAGTACTTATAAATGTAGTGCACTGAGCCACTACCCTCATGTGGCTCTTGAGCACTTAAACTGTGACTTATGGCACTGAGGAACTAAAATTGTAACTGTACTTGTTAATTTCTTTCTTTCTTTCTTTCTTTCTTTCTTTCTTTCTTTCTTTCTTTCTTTCTTTCTTTTTTTTTGTAGAGACAGAGTCTCATTTTATTACCCTCGGCAGAGTGCTGTGGCGTCCCAGCTCACAGCAACCTCCAGCTCCTGGGCTTAGGTGATTCTCTTGCTTCAGCCTCTCGAGTAGCTGGGACTACAGGTGCCCACCACAATGCCTGGCTATTTTTTGTTGCAGTTTGGCCAGGGCTGGGTTTGAACCCGCTGCCCTCGGTATATAGGGCTGGGGCCTTACCACTGAGCCACAGGCACCACCCAGACTTGTTATTGTAGAGCCACGTGTGGTCAGTGGCTGTCATACTGGATAATGCAGGTCTAGATGTGTGACTACAGCTCAGTTCCCCATTAGTCAGGAGGGAGTGATCCTCTCTTCTACCTCCTTCCTGCCCTCCCAAATTGTTCCCCTAGCAGGTGGTCTTACTTTTGGATGGAGGACACCTTCTGAGTTTAATTTTTATTGCTTCTTTAATTCTAACAGTGTGAAGAATGCCAGTGCTGGCAGCATGGGGTCTGCATGGGATTACTGGAAGAAAATGTGCCCGAGAAATACACCTGTTATGTTTGCCAAGACCCTCCAGGTAGAGATTTCTGGAGTCAGGGATATTAACAGTATGTAGCCTTTTCCTTAGCACAGCTGGCTGTGAGTCATCCTAAATGTTTGTGATCTTGAGATTCATTTCTTCAGCATCGCTAGACTCTGACTTCTCGTCTCTGTTGCTAGTCCACCCAGTGGCCAGCTGTCCCCAACTTAGCAGTAAGAGAATGTGTGTGAAGGCCTGGCCTTGAGAACTAGAACTTTCTTTAATTGTGGTTAAACAACAGCAACAAAAAAAGGCATGAAGTTTACCCTCTTCACAAATTAAGTGTACAATGTAGTGTTATTAACTATAAGCATTATGTTGTTTGGCATATCTGTAGAAGTTTCATCCTGCATAACTAAAACGCTATAATAAATAGGGAATGCTTGATAGATGTGGTGTCATCCTTGCGCTGGGGCTGTGCTAATCTTCTCTGCACTGTCCTGCTGAAGTGAGCATTTTTTTCCTTGAGAGCTCATGAGGATGGCCATGTGGGCTCTGTCCTTGGCTTTTGGGGGCTGTTGGAAGGTTAGAAACTTGCCTCTGCTTCCTGTGGCAACATCTGTCCTCTGTTGCATCATTGCCACATGAAAGGGAGATGTGCCCTTGAAGGGAAGGGGAAAGGCATGGCTGTCTAGAGCCTGCTGCCACTCAGCAGTGACTGAATTCCTTAGTAAGATCAATCAGTTTCATGGCTATAGGGTTCACTTGGGTGCCCATTTCTTGAAGGGGTGGATTATAAATATGTGCTTGTGGTTTTGCTGTCAATGGGATGGTGACATTGTTTCCCATCAGCACCTGCAAGGTCTCTCCCTCCGTTCCAGCCCCCTGATTCCCACATAGCTTCTGCTTCTGTGTTTATTCTGGTCCTATGAGGTGTGCTGGGTGGGAGCTTCTACTGCCTTTTTGCTTATGAGGAAGAAACTGATGTCCAGAGGATATAAATGACATTCCTAACCTCACAAAGCAAATTAAAGTTGGAAATGGCTTGTAGGACCAAATCTCTTGATTTTGCTGATTGTGTAGGAAGGGACTGGTCACCACAGATCATATCATTTT